GCCTCTAAGAAGCGGCTGTCGGTCGAGCGCATATATCAGAAAAAAACTCAACTGGAGCATATTTTACTTCGTCCGGATTCTTACATTGGATCGACGGTAAAGACAACACAAATGATGTGGGTACTGGATGAGGAACAAGGTTGCATGGTCAATCGGGAGGTAACTTTCTCCCCCGGACTGTACAAAATATTTGATGAGATACTTGGTTAGTTCATTTAGTTGACTCTTGTCTTGAGCCCAACATTTTCTAGTGAATGCAGCCGACAATAAGGTTCGGGATCCCACGATGTCGTGTATTAAAGTGGACATTGATCCGTAAGTTTTCCTTGAAATTTTCAATTATTTTCAGAGCACAAAACATGATTCGTATATGGAATAATGGTAAAGGCATTCCTGTGGTAAACCATAAGGTCGAAAACGTCTTCGTCCCCACATTGATTTTTGGGCACCTACTAACATCCAGTAACTACGACGACAGTGAACGCAAAGTTACGGGTGGACGTAACGGATACGGCGCCAAATTATGCAACATTTTCAGTACCAAGTTTATTGTAGAAACTTCCAGCAAGGAGTACAAAAAAAGTTTTCGGCAGATGTGGATCGATAACATGACTAAAACATCTGAGCCGAAAATATCGGTCAATAAGGACGAAGACTTTACATCCATCACGTTTTATCCGGATCTTCACAGATTTGGAATGACGGAATTGGAGTCGGATACTGTTGCCCTTTTCCAGAGGAGAGCGTACGATTTGGCTGCAACCACAAGTGGTGTTAAGGTTTTCCTCAACGGCAAACGACTGCCCATAAAGAGTTTCGTGGATTATGTTGATCTGTATATCAAATCCAACAAAGAGGCAGATACGCAACTAAAGGTAAGCTGAAGTTATGATTTAATGCTGCATATATAAATCTGGTGACTGCTCCATAAACACCTGATTCTCACCTTTCTTATCTTAGTTCTGTTCTAGTTGCCTGTTAGTATGATTATTACCCTTTTATATTCGCGTGTTTGTTTTTCTGTCTGTTGGTTACTCATTTAGGTAGCGTTGTAACGTCAAGAATAAGAATACTGAAAACAGAATCGATGCGCAGAGAGAATTTGGGTAGACTAACGTTGCAAGTGTATTGGGTAGATGCACGAGCTCCACTGTTTACGACAATAAGTCATGTAACTCAATGCTTTCCGCGTTCACATCCGAAAAGCCTATCACTACCTATATGAACGAGTCCTACTCAGGATTTGCACACCCTCAATCTAAGTCTTAATTTGACTACCTTCATTTTTTCACTCACTGCTTGCCTCAGTGAACATCGCAGGTCGAGGGAACTTCATCAAGCGACATAACTCAGTCAACGCAACCTACGGAGATTAAGCACTTAATCCAGCCGGCCTATAAACGCCTAATATCAAGATCATTTTCTGGGTACCCCTACCAGACTCGTGCAGGGTTGCTTAGAGAGGGTTGTTCGAATGCAAATAGTCCTATTTATCCTATTTATTTATGGATGATCCTCGGTGACTTGGTCCCATTTTGCGTATGCCTGCCCATAGTTTGCAGGAGAAAGACGGGAAGATTTGAAGTAGAGTGGAACAGAAAATGGAGAATTCCAGTGGTCTAAGGTTGCAAAGAAATTGAGAACAAATGCAACTGTTTACGACTCTCAGTCATATCACTCAGTGTCTCTAACCATTGGTTATGATTATCCCGAGGTCCTCAGCCTGTGAGCTCAACGGGACCTGGACCCTGGTTAGGGTTTTCATACCCTCGTGCCATGTCTTACGTTGACTACCCTTGGCTTTTTTCCGACCGCTACCTGCCTCGATACACCGCTCGCCGTAGCAACCTATCCGGTGACATGCGTAACACATGCCCTGGTGTTCAAACAGACAGTCTATCTTTATTCTGGTTTCCTAATGGCCAAGTTTTGCGCCGTATAGCAGAACTGGCCGAACTGCCGCAGCACACTGGACCCTTCACGGACAACCGAATATCGCGACGGTGCCACAGATGTTTTAAGTTGGAAAATGCCAACCGAGCGTTGTATGCAAGCTGAGACTTCATCCGTGATGTGTCCACCGGTTGAGATGTAGCTGTCCAAATAATAAAATTTATCCACTTGGTCATTTACCTCCCCGGTTAGAGTGAGGCTGGGTGCTGCACCAATCCAGTCTTGTAGCAACATTTTACACCTTGAAGGTGCAAAATGAATACTGAACATGACTGACGCTTAAGCTATCCAGAAAAGCGTGCAATTTGCCTGGATCTTGGCATAACAGCACAATGTCGTCTGCATACTCCAGATCAGAATCAGCCACCTGGAAGTAAATCGATGCCGCTATCCTCGCACGGAGATAAGGCTGTTTCCATGATCAAATCTATAATAAATTTAAGCAGAAAAGGAGAGAGAGAGAGGGGGCAGCCCTGACCTGAAGCTCGAGGGATATGGATTGTCGGTGGTTAGGGACGCTAAGGGATATGACCCAGCATAGAAGGCAGTTGTGCGAACACTAGTCTGCCTATCGGAATCCCCTACCTTATAGAGAAAAGCAATGAACTAACAAAAATATCAAAAAGTGTACGATGAAACAAAAACTTATTCCTACGCACCATAGTTGTTTGTCCCCCATCCCACTTTTTGTATCCCCACTGCCTTCGTCCTGTTATACTTGTTGCGCTGTCATCATGCTTGTTCGCGAATATATATATATATATATATATATATAACCCAGAATTACGAGAACCTACCGTTTTTTATGGAAATTGGCGTTCTAATCCTTGGAGTGGACGACAGATCTGTCTATCATCGAATTCGGGGCTGCAGCAGAATTTGGATTTCTTCGTACTCTTAAGCACGACTACTATCGGGGCCTTGTGTGGTTCGTCACTCAAAGTCTCGGGATTTAGGTTGCCCGTTTCCACCACTGAACAGCAGATTCTTGTGACCATGGGGTTCGCCCCGTCTGCTGTACATCACACTTAGGTGTGTAATAAGAAAGATCGCCCCTCAGACTGCATGACAATCGCGCTTAATGGGGTAGTACGGTTACCTATTATCTATTTTCATCCGGAGGTATTCAAGTTTGTTAAACATGCACGGTAGGATTCACAGCTAACTTTCTACTCCCCTGATTGGATTTCACTTGTCTTTATCTTGAAACTGCTCTAAACTTAATCTTTCCAATAAATCCTTTAACCCACCAAATGGGTAACCAAAACAACCGACCAAAATGGGTGCACGAAACTGATTTATTGACGACTGTGCAAACTAACAAACTTTCAGTACGTATCCCCTCTGAGTATTTTTTCATTTTTCCTAATGTGAGTCATTTGTTCCTGCTTTTCTCAATACTCTAGGTAGTTTATGAAACAGTGAACCCTCGTTGGCAAGTAGCCGTGGCACCCAGCAGCTCTGGTTTTCAGCAAGTCAGTTTTGTGAACAGTATCGCCACAACTAAGGGTGGGAAGCATGTGGATCTTGTTGCGGATCAACTAAACAACAAGCTGATTGAAATTGTGAAGAAAAAGTCTGGAAAATCTGGGGTTCAGATTAAACCCTTTCAAATTAAAAATCACCAATGGATATTTGTCAACTGTTTAATTGAAAACCCCACGTTCGACTCACAGACGAAGGAGTTTATGACTCTGCAGCCAAAGAGCTTTGGTTCCACGTGTAATCTGAGCGAAAAGTTCGTCACACAGGTGAGTTCGCTTTTTTTGTCGCTTTTGCTTTTTTATGATCTCAATGTTCACTTCTCTTTCCTTTTATTGAATTGCGTTCTTCATTTGGACATGTAGAGTCAATTAGCACAAAAAGTTTTAGGAATATCTTTTGAAGTGACGCCATTGGGTAATATTTTATCTGCTATCAGACAGTACCCATTTCTGTGATTAATTATTCTTGTTAATGAAGTAGATTTGGGCCTAAATGTTTGCACCTGTCAACCAGTTTCTAATTACTAGTTCAACATTTTAACCTGATGCGAATAATCTCATATATAGGAAAACTCAAGGCTTCACAGAAAACCACATACTTCACGTACCCTCCTAATTCGAGGAATATCATTGATTCTTCGAATAATCTTTTTGGTGCTTGTGGTCAGTGTATTGAAGCCATCTGTTAACCTGGAGGTTTAGGGACCCGATACCTTAATGGATGTTCATTTTGGTCTATTACTGGGATATAACCATGTTCTCGTTGACTTAATCTCTAGCGTTGACTTCGTGCCAGTCTGTATACCATCCTCGCTGAGGAGAAATACGCTGTGCTTATTGGAGGAAATGTAAAATTATCTGATCAAAGTGGCTCTGTTCACTTCCATATGTAATAAACTCAATCTAATCAAATCTTTAAGCTCTCAGATGGATGTGGCATGTATATTGAGTTACAAGATAACCATTAATGTAAATGATGGCTGAATAAAATCTGTTTTCTATCTTCCCTTTCGATATATCGCTCACTGTTCGGTTGCTCTCTCTTGGTTCACTCCCCAGGCTTCGAAATGTGGAATTATCGAAAGCGTGCTGTCTTGGGTTCGTTTCAAAGCTATGGAAAAGATGGACAAACAGTGTCACAAATCCAAACATGTCCGTCTCAAGGGTATACCCAAATTGGATGATGCTAACAACGCAGGCACGAAAAACTCATCTACTTGCACGCTCATTCTAACCGAGGGTGATTCGGCCAAATCCTTGGCGGTGGCCGGTCTTGGAGTTGTTGGCCGTGACAATTATGGGGTCTTTCCACTGCGGGGCAAATTGTTAAATGTTCGCGAAGCCTCTAGCAAACAAATCATGGAAAACGCTGAGATCAATGCATTGATTAAAATTCTGGGATTGCAGTACAAAAACAAATATGAGTCACCAGATTCATTGAGAGACCTTCGTTACGGAAAGTGAGTTACGATTGGCGATGTTTTTTTTGTTGATGCATGTCGTTTTCTCGATGGAGTTGTTAGATTTTGCCTGTAGACTAGTCTAAATTGATGCATTAGGCTGATTTGTTCGTTTTTGGCACCCCTTTCACAGTGGGTGTGCTAGGTACATCATAAAAAACAGCTTTGCTGTCCGGCTTTATACCACCTGTCTTATTCAATCTTTGGTTCACTACTCCAAGTCCTTGAATTTTGATAATCAATTTCCATAATCACACAAGCTCTGATGACTTCCACCCCATCTGATTTTCATCAGATGTGATGATAAATGTTCAAAGGCGAATTAAGTTCCTTTGTCCCACTCTGATTTGTGATTTAGTGGATCCGTGAATCACTGATATCTGAACCATGGAATGGTTGTGGTCATTACACTCTCTTAGGTTTCATTATTTTACCTTTTCGGTGATAGAGTAATCCTTCTATGAGTTTCATGTGGCTTTTTTATTCACGCGAATTCAGTTTTCGATTAAGAAGATTCGTTGTCTTTTTTTGGCTTGCTTATTGTGTGGTTTTCCCAATACGGTTCCTAGTTGAATGTTTTATCAACTTTTTATCATTGTTTTTAAGGATTATGATTATGACCGATCAGGATCAAGATGGATCACATATCAAGGGACTAGTGATCAATTTCCTTCACAACAATTGGCCCAATTTGCTGAAACATAACGTTATTGAAGAGTTCATTACCCCGATTGTAAAAGTGTTCAAAGGCAAACAAGAGGTTCCGTTTTACAGTCTTCCCGAGTTTGAAGAATGGCAAAAGACCACTCCGAACTGGCACACGTGGCGTGTAAAGTACTACAAAGGTTTGTCTCACTTGGGCCATGATATTGTGCCTATTGAATAATTTCCCTGTCGTGTTTACGAATGTGAGTTGTGGGCAGTAGTAATGCACCCGTGGATTGTTGTTTTAATGTAAAGGAAATCACCTTCCCCCATAAGACTTTGACGATTACTTGCTTCTAATTAGGCAGGAAACCTGAACATTTGGCACTGGCCTAGTGAGTTGATTAATCAGTGCTTAATCATCTAAACAGGGTGCCCATAAACATTGAGTCGCGTCACAGATTTTATTATATATCAATGAGAACAAGTGGTTTATAAGGACGATTACCTTCTGATTGTTGAATTTTGATTGCGCACATTTGGAAAACCCTCATACTCATCTGTCTCGATCTTTTCAACCTTAGTCTATGCTAATTCTCTATCTTCCTTGACTCTGCTCGCAACAATCCATTCTTCCCTCTGCTCTTTTATCCAAATGGTCAGCCAAAAGGCAGTAACCAAAACGCAGATGGATATGCATGTTTAAAGGTTGTAAAAACTGAAACTGGTTGCTGTAGTGGTACTCCCTCTCCCGTGATGCAAGATCAACCAAGGTGAATTTAAAGTTCGAAAGTTTTACACAAATTTATTAAATGTATCTTAAGTGTTCCTCGGTCGCGGTTTTCCTGGAGGCTCATGATTACCAGTTGCTTGATTTGTCACCGAAAGTTGAATCACAGCATACGCGTTGCCACTTTATCCCCAAGCCGGAACCCCTGAAGCACTGGAAATCTTTGGTTAAATATGACATTTTTGGATAACGTGTGCTAACTTAGAGAGTTTATAACGTTTTATCCGAACGTATACTGCAACACCTGAATATTTCTACAGGGCGCACTGTGATTTCCGAAAAGTACTACTGTGTGCGTCATGCATACGGTAGTACAATCGGGGGTCCTACCACTATAAACCACTATAAGTTGCGAAAATGGCGACAGACTACTCAGCTTTGCCGATTATAATCGAGTGTGTATTACAAACACGCGGTTTCAACATCCAAAAGGCATCTTCTAACGTGGTACTCGAAGGCCGAACGGCGCATCAAGTTGATTACATTCTCATCCGTTCACGATGGGTTTCGTCGATGGTGGTGGTGTTGGGGACGAGATCACATCACGAATAGCGAAAGCCAGAGCAGCT